ATCAGTACAATATTGTAATTAATCAAGAGTTGAAATCCGTAATAACATAGATTTTATTTATCTCTCGTTTCTCGTAGACAGATATAACATTCTATTCAGGTAGAAAATTTAGGCGCTTAAAAGGGTTATAACGAACAAAGTATATTGCATTACTCAAAGATTGGGTGTCTGCCATAGGCATTCTCGAAGCGAATTATTGTACTGTAGACTAATACATGTAAAAATACCTATAAATACGATTGTAAAGCTTCAGAAAATGATACCGTCCAAAAGAAAAGTTTCTTTTCCAAAAGGTTCTCATACTTTATAATGAATGATTATACTGTATGTGATGAACATCGAGGTACAACGCTTCCAGCACTCATATCTAATATATTGGTTGTCATTCTATTACGAAATTATACGAGATAAATAAAAATGAGTCAAGAATCATCTTGGATATCATTCAAATGTTCAATAGACTTGTCATGTTCTGACTCTCTGGGTACATGCCATAGATTCTTCTTGATTTTACAACCATCTTCACTTCGTGAGGAAAAACTGTATTTTGAAGTTGTCTGACAGATAAGAGTAACTACTCAAAAATTTCACCAACATATTGAAATTTCTTCTCGAAACTTTAGAAAGCAAGGGTACATATGCTTACTTCTATCTGTGTTTGCAAATTAGCAGTGAGATTAGATAGAATGTAGCGACTCCAGCATTCTTCTCTTTACTTTTTCTACTGATATCACACACCACATGGTGGTGGTGATTTAGTTCTGTTGCTCAGAGTACGGTATGCCGATTTTTGGAAAAAGCTGAGTCACTTTTTGATAACACCGAGTTGCACAAAACCATCTCTCGGTATTTGAGGAGCGAGAACTATATTTGTTTGCGTTAATCTAGACTACACTTACCTCTGATATTTCAGTTATAAAACGTGAGGTGTACAACTCAATGTGAAGAATTATTCTCCAGGTTTGTGAATTCTGAGGATCTTTGGGCGGAAGATGTGCAATCCATATTGTTTGTTTGACTTTCCATTCAGTGACATCGTAAAATTAATGCTGTCTCAGTTATATATATATATATATATATATATATATATATATATATATATATATATATATATATATATATATATATATATAGAAATAACGTGAACCATCATTCAATCAGCGATGCCATCGTGAAATATTGGTTTCTTTAAATTGAAAACACTATACGCATAATATTCCAGCTGCTGTCATACAAAGCACCTTTTAACCAATAAAATTGTGATAAAGAAATGTAAAATTATTCAGTTCATGAAATGGTGTATTATGGACTTCTGTTGACTTGTCACACAACTTCATGGACAGTCACACAAATTAAACTGTCCAACTGATAATCCTATACCGAGAACATCGAGATTACAGGTTAGATAGTAGTGAAATCAGGAGAAACAGAAAAATGATTTTACAATATGAAATAGTTTTTTATGTATACCTACTTACTTACGCCTGTTACTTCTCGTGAAGGAGCATAAGCCGCTCGCCAGCATTCTCCATCTAACCCTGTCCTGGGCAATCCCTCCCAGTTGTAATTCATCCTTTTCATATCTGATTCTATTTCCCGACGTGATGTGTTCTTTTCCGCTTCGCTTCAGGATTCCAAGTTAGGGCTTGCCTCGTGATGCAATTTGTATGTATGTATAGTACAATTATATATCTCTTCAATCCTTGACCAGTCGCATATCATTTTAACTAAACATATCACATAGGTTTTCAGCTTAGCGTTTATGCAACATATTGACCCTTGCATATTCTTGTAAGATTCTGTTATGTTTTTTGTTTTGTACGGCATGATATCTTTTCAGAGAAATGAAGACTTACTTTATTGACTTATGGCTTTTAGCATTATTATTATTATTGAGTGAACTTTTGTATTTCTCTATTATATGAGACAAAGTAATTTTTATTCTCCATTAGTAAAGTAATTCCTTAAATTTGTTAATAATCTAAGCATTCTAGAATGTATGTTTATATATATATATATATATATATATATATATATATATATATATATATATATATATATAATTCTTATAATTTATTATCTCTATAAAATTCATATTTTACATTTACCCTTTTAATTAAATGATATGCACTAGTTTGTTAAGATGAAAATAATCAATTAGTGTTATTTTCACCTTATAATTTAGAAAAAATGAATATTCATTCGTGAACTACTTTTGTCGTCATTATTATTATTATTATTATTATTATTATTATTATTATTATTATTGTTTTAATGAATATCATGATGTCTGTAATGCATTTTAAAATAAATAAGATGTGACCGAATTGAAATCAATGTCGTATATTTATGGAATTTAATGTACTGTTGACTAGTGTCAATTTACAAAAAAAAACATCATTTATGATTTAAAAGAAATCTACTTGTAACCATATATCTTACAAATTGTAATTATTATTGCTTAAATCGATTTGCAACAGTTCTGTTTAATGGACAGGATCAGAAAACTGATGATTGAAACATTCTTTCAGTATAACCACTAAGTTGTGCTATTTCAAACCCCTTATTCTTCTACTTTAGTTACGGGATTCTGTTAATATCAACAGATCCAAAATAAAAAAAATTGTGGCGTAAAATCGAATCCATGAATTTACTTCTATCTAGCTGCACAACATTGTATACGTTTCTCGTACAAGACAATTCTATTGTGAATTATCTCGTTATCGTTTTAGAATTATTGGTATCAAGTTTTAGAACAGTTAATTAACAAACAGAATTGACAATTTCTAAATATTTTTTATTAGTTTTTTACGCACCTGTTTAATGCAAAAGCAATTACAATCAGTCCATCTGTGTACTAGTTTTGTAGCATAGCAGACGGTAAAATGTGAATCTAATCTAACTTGTTTATTAAGCACAAGTTCATTTACACTATTTGTGTAAGAGCTAGTACAACTGTTATTTGATTACTTAAACTAAAGTACTTAGGACGGGGTTTGAACATGTAGTTCTTAAACAGCGCTTTGACTATTAAGCTTTCAGTTCACTGGTAATCGAATGACTGTTAAATCCAAGCCAATAGTTGTACATATTTTCTCTATTTTTTGTTTTCACGCATATTATCTCATATTCATCGTTTCTTTCTTTAAATTGCTTACTTTTTGCAGTTCTAAAGAACAAAGAAAGTTGTTTTTATGTATACTGGAAAATATTCATAATGCTTTAGCCGAGAAGTCATCCAATCAGCCTATCATGGATATAGTAAATCTGATAAAAGATGAATGCTCGTAAGTCTAACCACTCGGCTTTTGAGATCATTAAATATCAAGTTCTTAATAAAGATACGTAGTCGAATTTATAAGCTTTTATCTGGAATAATTACATCAAGTTTATAAGCTTAAAAACAGTAGGTTTATCAACATTATGCTCAATCATTGAAATGGTACTTGAGCCTATTTTTGTCACTAAATGTCTTCACATCTCTTCTATATGAAGATTGTTCTTTTCTCATAACAAAGTAATTGCTTTCCTTGGGTGGGTGGTTCTGTACCGGGGTTCTTTTTTAGTTGGGTTTTCTAACCCTACACCAAACTTTTCCTCTTTATCCGGGCGTAGGATCGACAGTAGCCCTTGAGGCATTCCAGATGGAGTAACATATTTCGGTTATTTACAAGCCTTTGAGACACGTTATAATTTTGTTCAAATGGAAAAACCTAAGTAAATTTCATATCAAAGTCTGATGTATGTCTATATACTCTAGTTATTTAGTGGAAGTTAATCAGTATCATGCTCTTTTGGTCCGTCATGTCGGTCGAGTACTTTGAATCGAGCTGGCGATATATTCAATAATCTAAATGTCTGGACATTGCGACAAGGTTATATCTTAGTGGTTAAATGAATCATCTTCAAACCGGTAGGTCGCAGGTTGAAAATCTTGTTCACTTGCTTTGGTCTAAACACCTCAGTAGTATCGCTCGACTCCTCATCTAAAGTGCAGCCCAATGGCGAGTCCACGATTCTGCACTTGGTAAATGAGCTGCACTACTCTTGTTAATACTAGTAAACACTGTAACGCAATGTATTATGAGATAGTTGAAGACGGTCGATAGAAATCTTTAGGTTTATACTTCATGCTCATTCAGCTACGACATAGGACCAGGCATATATGTGCATCGGTCCAAGTCGCTATACCTCATTAGCACAAGATGAACACCGGATTCATAAAAGTAGTTAATTCAATGATCGTAATATACAAAAGAAAGACTGCATATAGGGATATAGTACAGGAAGGAGTTAGTTCGTAGAAAGAAAGATATATAGCAAAATTCCAACCGTTGCTTTCTCCCTGTAATATATCCTTACATGTAATCTTTTTTATATATTACTACTATTAAAGTAACTACTTCTATGAATTTTGTGTTCATCTTGTTGTACTAATGTGGTGTAACAACTTGTACCGACTCACATATGTGCCTGGTCCTATGTTGTAGCTTAGTGACTGATGGCAAAGTAACCAATGAAAGATACGATTCAAGAAATTGGCTGTTATTTGCAATTACTCATGCAGATAAATATCGTGGTCACTGACTTTAATCCTAACTGATGTCTGGTAACTTCTGAATTTAGTAAATTGTATGGACTTCGGATAACCAGTAAACGAGTGGTGACTAACCAGCATTTTTAGCTGAAGACTCATTTTATGATATACCATAAACTATGTAATCCTACTCTTTAACTCAATCCTATTAGCAAAAACCAGTCCTCAGTAGAACAGACACTGGGATATAATTTGTATGACTTATTCAATGTAACATTCTAGTATTTGTGAATATCATCACTAACTGAATAACCATAGAGATACTACTTGGATGTACAAACGGAAATCGGTAAAGTGATATTCAAATCTTGAAGCTAATATTCGATATATGAGAGTTTAAACTGTTGAGTTATTAATTTTATTATCGTCTTAGTAGTAGATAAATTGTTTGATTTTTGTTTTTAGTGTGAAAAAGGAAAGCGTGAACTTGTATGCAATCGCAACAATCCCTTCTGAAAGTTGAAACTACATTCATTTGTAATCATATCATTCAATGTATATTCCTAACTTTCATGCTCCGAGTTACTTGTCATTTGGTTGCAAACTGATATGATTTCTAGTAAATCAGTATAAATAATTCAAATATCGTTCTGTGGTATCTGAAATCGTGAATTCGATTAACTCGAACAATATAGGATGTGAAAATGTAATGCAACACCTTAGTTTTCCATGGTTTCTGTGAATTTAATGTTAGGCCAGCTGTTGAGGTGGCATAAATGACAGTGCATTAATACGGTATTAAAGATTCGAGTAGTTTATAGATTGACAGACAGATACTTTAAATAGGAAAATTGTAATATCTTTAGCTCTCAGGACATTAAATATAGTTATCTACACCACATAAACTATTGTTGAATTCTTATATTGGTGGTACGCTTCAGTGTTCTAATCATCTAGGCTTTTCCCGATTCCATAAGTCACTCATTATTCGTCTCTCACTGGACCAAGAATATTTTTCTACAGAAACAATAACCAAATAACTTAAATCTGATACTTAAACGAAATCATTGTCTACCTAAGGGAGCTTAAAAAGCCTAGTTCGAAATTTTAAATGAAAAGTATGGGCAGCAGTCTACTGAGTGTCACCGCAGAACAGCACATTCCGTAGCGTAGTGTCTGCTTGGAGAAGTAAAGATTGGGCGTAGCATACACAAATAATCGCATGACAGATTTATTTCGCTACACTTGATGAATCAGGTAATGGGCTTATCAAAAACAACATCCATGTCGGGAATTCGTGTTATAGTATTTCCTGACTTACCATGCTAATGAAGAGTTTTCTTACAGTTCTTCGAAAAAACTAGAAATGCCATTCGACAAGCTACCACTTTTATAAAGTTAGTCTGTACAATTTGAAACACTAGTATCCTATCGTTCTCTCTAGTATATCCTGATGTAACAAAGTACACACACGTCTCGAAGCGGTAGCACTCCTGACAAACGGAATTGTATGGTCATCTTATCCAGTTAGTATACAGTCGTTTGAATATTTATTAGCGATCCCTTCAACCTACATAACCTTAACGTCTTGGGAGTAGCTTTGGGCCTTATGAAGTTTACGTAACGTTGTTTATTTCAACTGGATGTCGTGTTCAGAGAGCGGTCCAACAGAACACTGGGAATATTCCGATTAATAACGAAATGAAGATAGGTTAAACCGGACTCAGATAATTCTTTGTTACCGACTACCCAATCAAGCTACTGCAGGATGACGAACTAGTCATAACGTACAAAAACGCCATCTTTCATTATTTAAACACATCGATACCGAAGGGCTTCAAAACTTACCAGCGCTCTTAGTATGAGTAATCCATGTTTATTATCCAAACACTTAGGAAACTAACTGGATTCTCTTCCTACATGTGCTCTAAAGCTCCGGATTACCATCCAACTGTTCCAAATTCAGTTGCTTTTAAAGAACGCGGTCAGTGGTGACCTTAATTAACTCTGGTTTTCAAATCCCGGAACCCCCTTGATAAGATCTCACAAGCTAACACCACTCAATCGAATAACTGCATAGATGGTTTGCCGCTCCCAGTCAACACGCGAAGTTGAATTACGGCTAGTACCATAAATCGTCCACATTAAATAATGTGCTGCTCGAGGTGTGCTATATAATTTCGCTTATGTATTCAAAACATATTTTGTCTAGCAGTGACCTTAACACAGAGCTTTTAGCCTAAAGTAGTATAGAATTCACAAGAACGTGATCAGATTAATCATATGTAATGTGCTGCACTCCAAGCGACTTGGTGATCAGTTAAGAAGGCCGAAATTTAAGGAGCACATATACTCCACCAGATCTAGTACCATGCAACTTACGGGGTGTAAAAGCTACCGGTTTGCTCCATCCAACATTGTGTGGATGACTTGTTTCTGAGTGCTGCTTAACTATTTTCATCAATACGAAGTGCCCACATATACAGGCAATGAACCCCTTAAAATCACAGTGTAAATTATTATTCGACCGCATTGTGAATTACAAAAGAAATTTTCGAGGGCTCCAATAACGCACACATCTGAGTACAAACATGATAGTATTATTGTACCACTGACACTCTTAGGATCTAGACGGTTATCCTTTGCTCACGTGTTTACTAAACGGCTAAACGAGTGGTAGTTTAGACTCACCCATTTTTTTCGCCACATTTAATTAGTGAGTACCACGTCTCAGCTGATTAACGTTCGCTAAAGGTGAATGATTTTCTCTAAGCATTACTTTATCATTCAAACACTACATCTAGTTCATAATTCACGCGATGGCTCAAAATCCGATATCATGAGAGTAGAGCAGCACATTTGAGTTATATTCGAACCTACACTGACAAAATCATATAGAATATGAAATTCAGAAGTACATCTGAGCTATAGGAATTAATGTATACAGAACAGGTAATTACATATCGATCACTACGTATCTTAAGTCACTAAGTACATCCAATTCCATTTGCAACTTACTTAGATGCTACTTTGAAAATCCTTACTACTCACAGGGTGGTGAGAACATGTTCTTGAGCTTGAAATTACTTTAGAAGACTGTGTAGTGTTATTAACCCTCGTACTGATTCAAGTACATAGCCATGCCAACCATTACTTCTGTTTGTTCTTAACTTATCTATGGTACATACTGATGCAGACTAACTCAACCCAGTCAATAAGATGAAGCTAGTACATAAATTATAAGCAAGACTACTTGACTGGGCACTATTTAATAGAGCAAAGTTTTAATGTATATTTACAATATGTACAAGGTGAGAGAAATATTTACTGTTTTTTGCTGCTGTTATTTAACACGGTAAACTTGGTCATTGGTTTGCCACCTATACCACACGTCCCAACACCTACACGACCGTCCAGGGCTTCAGGAGAGGCGAAGATACTTTTCTTTGTCTTTCCAGTTTTAATCATTTTCTTGCTGAAATTAAGCCAACGGTTTTTCTCCTTTTCGCAAAACGACTCAATCTCAACTTCCCTTTGAAGAAGACGTTGTTTTTTAATCTTCTTCTTTTCTATAGCACGAGATTTCGTGTCATGTCTGCAGATTCAATTGGAGAAATGTAGGAACTTACTTTTTCTTCTTTACAATAGGAGTAACTGTCGTGACCGGCTTCAAGTGACACAGCTGCAAAAGAAACATGCTTGCGATGAACATGATGTATAGACATCGAGTATTGTATATAAACAGACATCTCAGGTTTGTTTAAACCAAAATATTCACTCACGATTAATTTCCCCACGAACCGTTGACTGTTGTCATCCCAATTATCAAGCGGACGGCTTCAAAGTACCATACGTCTCGTGCTTGAATGTATACAAAAATTTAACGGCAGCCGCAAATGGTAAGACAGTTAGGACAAACCAATCTTTAAATAGGCATTTTCTAGCTAAAACGAAGACCTAATCACGTAGACAGGTTTTATTAAGATTTTTCATAAGAAATATGAAAAACTAAAGTCCCATAAAGTGCTTATAATTATATAGCTGCTACAGTTGCTGAGCAAAGATCAGTTCTCTACTTCAGACAAACTTAAAAGCTATCTTAGTAAGCCTACCAAGTGGACAGATACAGCAAATATATAAAAAGGTAGCAAGAACACACCTGGCATACGTCCGTTGTATCGTACATATCGAAATTAACAACGCAGCTTACATCCCCAAGAAATTCAAGTATTGTAGCTCGGTAGTAACTACTAAGTAACACAAGAATTCAAGAAAACCTACAGTTTGTCACGGGAGCACATGGCCATGCACTGATCGCCAACATTCCACGATACTTCTGGTGTATCAGATGTCCTGCCCAATAATTCAAGTGAGAGTTTGATGACTTCCTCGAGATCTCGTTTGAGCTGTAGAAGTTCCCCGTTTTCTGGATCTAGCTCGAGAGCTGCGTCGACCTAAACATAAAGAAACATAAGGCACTTGAAACGAACCTGCTGAAGTTGCAGCTTGTGGTTCAAAAGGTCTAATTGCGGATCATCAGACATCTTTGGAAACAAGACCTGTATATGGCGCTATATACGTTGCCAAACTATTAAAACTAAATATGAACTGAGAATATGAACCCAATTCTGTGTAATGTTAATGATTGAGATTTGAACTTTATTAAGTTAAATAATTGATTTTGTTAATTAAATTTGTGGTAAAATTTGTTTAGAAAATATGAACTTTGTTAGGGACGTGTTCGAAATTGATATCTTTCATGCTTAAACGGACATATAAAAGAACAAGGTGGAAAATGGAGTTTGTGAGTGCGTTTTAGGGCTGGGAAATTTAGTCCTAGCGTGATTTGCATTTCTCAAACTTTTGTTGTCTTTACGCAACAAAAGTACCATTTTTGATCCAAATGATCTGTTCCGAGCTTGAAGATTACTCTTAATTTTGAGCATAACTTCAGTTAGTAGATGACTGTGGTTTTGCCTCAACTTATCATACGGTTTTTCATTTTTTCTTGTCAAGCCGTTTCAGCATATCCTAACATTATTCACCACTCATTTTTATCTGTTTGGAAAGTGCTATTTCTGTTTTACGGTCGTAAAAGTTTGCTAATACCTATTGTACAATTCACCACAGTTCTGCAGAATCCATGCAAGCGACCCGGATGCCGTTTTGTATCATCTGGCATGCAGTATGATAGAAGCAAAGTTTGGTTCCATGAGGCATGGATGGATAATACCGTTACTGCTTACAACGGTCTTAGTAAGTTATCAGGAAACCTGGAGAAAGGTCGTCTTAAAACACATAAACAAACAAATACGTGCAGTAAGGGAAAGAAGAGGGATCTTGACATGGTTAGTATTAACAGTACATGAATTGACACTAGTGAGTGTATGTCGAAGCTCATCATCGTTATTACATGAATGGTACTAGACTCTCGCAGGAAACAAACTAGGGACGATAGGACATAAAAGACCCCAAACAAGCAAGGAACCAATGCACGTAGGCGATAAGAGAGGAAAGGATTCAGTATCACATACAGCTAGTGGATAAATCGGCCTCCTATCTTTAAAGCCTATACTGTCATGCAGCCTCTTTTCAACAAGCTGAAATCGGAGTTTACCAATTGTTAGTTCTTAATGGTCCGATCGACAACGGCGTCGATGGCGTCACGGTTCTGGCAGAACAGTATTTCCAAACATTATAACCTTCATTTACAAACTATATCAACGAGAAATTCACCAGCAGTTTAAGTGGACTCTCAGGAGTGAACCTGAGTGCTGACTTGATGTAACAGAACTTAGAGCACATAAGCAAGATCACTTCTGGCTTGGATATGATTCAGTCTGTTATTCTGCCGAAAGTGGCTTCAGTTTCGACGAAAACTATTGATGTGATGTTCACATACCTGCTAAGCTGAGGTACGATACCAGGAAGTTGGAAGCTGACTCACATTTCTCAAACTTTCAAAGGTGGTCGAGGCAGCGAACATTCAAGCTAATGGTCGGTAACACTTCTCTCAATATTCTCAAGAGCTATGAAGTCACTGATATATAACGGTGTATGTCACTACTTACTATCCACAGACGTATTTTCACTCCAACAGCATGGTTTTAGGTACGGTTACTATTGTATACCAGCCTGCTGGCCGCGGTGGACATATGGACAAACCAGCAAGCCTTGCACTTGTAGAGTTGGATAGCATTTTCATACAGTTTGGAGGAAAGATTTTCCACCTAATCTTTAATAGTTTTATTCGCTACCATTTAGAGTATGAAAACATGGTGTTTCCTTATTCTCTTCAAAAGGATAAAACATTCTTGAACGTATTGAACAGCAAGCCACGAAGTCAGTTCGAGTACTTGAATTCAAGTTCTTTGAAGAAGGACTTCAAGCATTGAACCTTCACCCGAAAGAGTACATGCGTCTTGGAGGTGACCTTTTAATGACATATAGCATCCTTAACACTTCTGAGCATCTACTTAAGCTTGGTCCATGAATAAACCCCAGGGGTAACACCCAGAAACTGGTGACTCAACATAGCAGAATTGACTGTAGATTCACCTTTTCCTCCTCAATAATAGGCAAATGCTGGAATTCATTGCCCGCTGAGCTAATTTAAGAGGCTTCCTCGGAGTTCTTTAAGAGAAAACTTGACATATGCCTAAGGACTAGTGATAGTATCTCACTATGATTTACTAATTGTTTTCTTTTTCCTCATTCATCGTTAAATATACCCAGGTTCTTACCTGAAGGTGACGGTGATCCACTGATACTGTATACGGAAACCCGTTTAAAGAAATCTTCTAATACTCCCTGCACCATTTGAGCTGTTCTTTTATCACATGCTCCGTGTACACTGATGTTACTGTTTATATTATGTCTGGAGTTGTTTTCTCTGGAGTTTATTTCACAAATTTTTTAACACCTGGTTTTCGGAATGCACTTAATCAAGCCATACACCATTTTAATTCTTACGGCATTCTGCCCATTTGGTCAAGGGATGTCATGCATATTGACTATTCTATACATATTGATTTTTAGTAGCATTTTGAGCCGTAAATAATGCTGATTCTTCAGTCATTATTTGAGGAAGAATATCATGAAGCCCTATGAACCTACCGAAGTTTCAACAAGGACTATATTCTATCAGTGTTATTCAAATGATCTATAACTTCTCTCCTTGATGGAGTTTGATAAACAGGCACTCTAGTCAAAATATTCATATATGTACGTGATTTCTACTTCGAGGATTCCGCTACAACTTTCCCGTTTCTAGGTAGTTTTTAGGAATCAGTTCTCACTAAAACCTGTGACTCGGCAACAAAATACCTTATTAACACAAGGTTAGTGCGAAAATTGTTTTCTGACATATTAAAACAAAGCAACAAACAAGCTCCAGATTGTAATTGCTCTAATATAGACACAAAACATATTGCCAGTGGATATGTGTATGAATCACTCTGTATTGAAAATATCTATCCTCAAAATAAGGACACTTCTGCTAGCATATTGTTTACCAATCTAATTCAAACAATTTTCCGATATCTTGTTTAGATATTGCTGTGCAACTATTTTCGCTTCCACCTCAGTCTTGAAATTCGGGCTTGTTATATATGAAAAGACGGTAGTTCTTCCAAGTTTTTGACACAATTTATGAACTGAAATGGTGAGGAAATGACCACAATATTTGTGGAATTAAATGTGTAGGGAGCAATTTCCTACAGGTTTAATTCTAAGCTATTCTCTAGAGCGTCGAATACAGAGTCTTGGTTTGGCCAAAGTCAGAACAAGTAAGCTATTTGGCTATATAAACTTTATCTGTTTCTAAAACATACATTAACATCGTTAGTGTGCAAACGAACAGTACAGTCTATTAATACATGGAGAAAGAGACAATAACATACCGAACAGTAGCCAGAGAATAGGAAAACTGAGTCAACAAGCAAATATTGTTTTACAATGAACATTAAACTGTGATTAGTTGATAAAGAGATACAGTCGTACACGGTCAAAAGAAGTTAATGTGGTGGTGGGCGTTTCCCTTTATTATTGGTGGGTTCGTTTATCGATCACATTTTGCACTCCCCCCGAAACGCACACCACGTCCATTGTCCAGGGCCGTCGTGGCCGTCAGACAACCGGCTTTTTTCCAGCAGGCATAGGCTTCGCACATCTCTGACGATTTCTTCGTTTGAAGTTCTGAACTTTGCCGTGAGGACTCGTCCGTCCGGGCCATAACTTACTTGCTCGACTATAGCCTTAGGCCATAGACCTCTATTCATTTCGACGTTACTAACGAGGACTAAGTCACCCGGTTGTAAGCTTTTGTGTACGTCCAACCATTTGTCTCTGGCTTCGAGAGTCGGTAAATATTCTTTTATTCATCTATTCCAGAATGCGGCCGTTAGTCTTTGAGCTTTTTTCCATCTTTTGTTGTATAATAACGTCTTATCCACCGAAGCATCGTCGAATGATAATTTTTTATGAATCAACAACAACTTGTTCGGAGTAAGAGCTTCTAGGGTACCAGGGTCATCTATCATCTTAACCACAGGTCTGTCACTCAGTATCCGTTCCGCCTCAGTTAAGAAGGTTTGCAGAGTTTCATCGGTCAACACGTTTTGGAATAAAAGCACTCTTAAGATTCTTCTAATAGATCTTATGATGTGTTCCCACACACCACCTCGATGACTTGCTCTAGGTGGGTTAAAACGCCACCCACATTCTCGTTCTTTAAGGTGGTTTTCTATTTTATTAGTATTCCAGGAACGTATAATCTGTCTCAAACTGGCATCTGCACCTCGGAAGTTTGTGCCGTTATCACTAAAAATACGCTTTGGACATCCTCTTCTGGCAATAAATCTTGATAACGCGCATTGAAATGAATCCGTATCTAAAGAGTAGGCCATTCCGATGTGAACGGCTCTAATAGATAAGCAGGTAAATAAACAGCCATAACGTTTCTCGACAACTCTACCACGTTTGGCGTAGAACGGTCCGAAGTAATCCACACCTACTTGACTAAAGGGTGGCGAATGAGTCTCTACTCGGTGCCATTAATTGGGAACATGGTTTAGGATAAAGTCTTCTACATAAAAAGCATGGTTTTAGAACCTTCCGAACAGTAGAATATCCTCTCACAATCCAATACTCCTCACGAATACTACTCAGAGTTTGAGTAACTCCAACATATGCGTTAATCACATAATAACGCATTATAATCATATCTGTAACAAAATGATTATTAGGAAGAATAATCGGATATTTGGTTTCAAAGGGCAAACATGATAACTGCAAACGTCCTCCCACGTGGATTTTGCCTTCAAACATAAAAGGGTTGAGATTTCTTATAGAACTTTGACGAATTAATTTTTTTCTCCTGTTCACTTCGTCCATTGCTTCTTGACCTTTTTGCTGTCTAAAAGCGTTTTCTCCAAGCGTCAACGGTGAGCTGTTTAGAATTCTTTTTTCGGCCGGGTACGTGATACTTTGGACTAATTTAATTATTTCACTCTTCGAATTTTCGATATCTTCAGCACTTAGCGCATCTAAGGTTAGACGATTTCCGTTCCTCTTGTTTGACATATTATTGATAAACCGTCTGCAGTATGAAAATAACCTTAGAAGTCTGAACCACGACTTGCACGTACGAAA